TTCATCTGTCTTCATCATACTTCAGCCAACCTTCCACTTTTTGTATATTGCCCTCTCCCTTGCATATTGCCCTCTCTATCACCCAAGTTAACATGTATCTACCCTCCAACCCCTGGTAACCATCAAAAAATGTTTCTTTTAGTATGCAAACTTTTCTTGAGTTTTTACAATAGTGGTCTCATACAATATTTGTCCTTTTGTGATTGACTAATTCCACTCAGCAATATGTGCTCCTGGTTCCTCCATGTTATGAGGTGTTTCACAGATTCATCAATATTCTTCAACACTGCATAGTATTTACACTGTGTGCATATGCCAAAGTTTGTTTATCCAGTCTTCCATTGATGAGACTGTAAAGTCTTTATGAGTGCAGACAGCCTCATCTTTCTCCCAAGGAGCCCCTGATGGGTTTGTACCGCAAACCTTGAGGTTAGCAGTCCAGTGCTTATCCTATAGTGCCACAAGGGTTCCTTAGATTTATGTATAACAACAACAACAACAACAACAAAAAGGCCCATTACCCTCAAGTCAATTCCAACTCATAGTAAGTCTATCGGACAGAGTAGAACTGTTCTATAGAGTTTCCAAGACTGTACCCTCTACAGAAGCCAATTACCACATCTTTCATCTATGGAACTACTAGTAGGTTCCAATAGCAGACCTCTCAGTTAGCAGCCATCATGGCTTCATCATAGCATTCTCAAATTCAGGAAGCATGAAAACTTTCAAGAATAATTTTTTAAATACACATTAAGACAGATTCTAGTAAACTTAGGAACACCAAATTCAAAGGAATGATTTTTTTAAAACATCCAGAAAGAAAAGACAACTATAGTGAAAATGCAATTAATCAGAAAACTGACTTCTCAGTAGCAACAATTGTTGTTGTTGTTAAGAACCGTTGAGTCAGTTCTGGCTCAGAGTGACCCTGTATAGGGTTTCTGAGGAGTGGTTGGTGGGTTTGAACTACTGACCCTGAGGTTCAAACTGACTTTTCAGGACAGTACATTGTCCTGCAGCACCACACCAGGACTCTAGTAGCAACAATAGAAGCCAGTGGAATAACAGCATCAAAGCACTAACAGAAAACAATTGTTTTGACCTGGAACATTCCCCTTAATGAAGCCATCTTCCAAAAATAAGCATAAGATAAAGATTTTCAGACCAAAATAATTTACTGGAATGATGTAAGTAATTCACAATTGCATGAAATTGTCTGGTTACACAATTAAATACTTGCAACAAAATAGGAAGCCAAAGATAAGTCTACAATAAATACAAAATGCATGTAGTCCAGGAAATTATGCAGTTCAGTGCGAAAAGTGAACTTTACAATAAACATTGTTGAGACTATTGGTTTTACATGGTGGGGGTGGGAGGAACTGGATTACTGTCTCCATACAGAATAAATCATTATATCTGGATATGAGCTTCTATTTTTAAAGGTAGAGATTTGAAAATTGAGAAGATATAGGACTGATCTTAGAATAGAAAGTATTCCTTAAACACTACTCATAGAGCAAAATGAACAAAAGCAATAAATTGGAAAATATCTTAAAATAAGAACCTCTGATTATCAAACCATCCAGAACAAGACTAAGACATCAGCTTTCACCACTGCTATTCAATATTGCGTGGCTAAGCGCTGGATTGCAAGGCTGGTTTGAACCACAAGGCCTGCAGTTCAAACTCACCAGCTGCTCCTCAGAAACCTTATGAAGGGTCACTATGAGTCAGAACTGACTTGACAACACTTAACAACAACAACATTCAATAAGGTACCGACATCTTAGCCAGAGCTAATAGGCAAGAAATATGTATAAAAAGTATCTACATTGGGAAGGAAGAAAGTAAATCCATCTGGATCCCAGCATGCACAAGGAAGCTAATAAACGAGTTCAGCAAAACTGCATATACATACATGGTCAAGACACAATAATCTATATACCTGCAGTGAGTACTATGGAAAGGGAATTAAGAAAATAATTCAGTTTATAACTGATCTAAAAGAATATCTATCTAGGAATAAACTTACCCAAGGAAGTAAATGATATGTACACTAAAAACTATAAAGCATTGCTGAAAGCAATTAAGGAAAATCTAAATAAATGAAAATTTCTGCAATAGACTCCTTAAAGCGTTGAAATGTTAAAAAAAAAAAAAAAAAAAGATGTCACTTTGAGGACTAAGGTGCACCTGTCCCAAGCCATAGTATTTTCAGTCACATCATATGCATGTGAAAGCCACACAAAGAATAAGGTAAACCAAAGAGTTGATGTCTTTGAGTTATGGTATTGGCAAAGAATATCAAATGTACCTTGGACTTTCATAAAAATAAGCAAATCTGTCTTGGAAGAAGTACAATCATGATGCGTCTTAGATGCAAGGATGGCATGTACTTTGGACGTGTTATCAGAAGGGACCAGTTCCTGGAAAAGGATATGATGCTTGGAAAAGTAGAAGGTCAACGAAAAAGAAGAAGCCTCTCACTGATGTGGATTGTCGCAGTGGCTTCAACAGTAGGCTCAAGCAAAGCAGTGAGCGTGAGGGTGCACAGGGTCAGGCAGTGTTTGGGCCTGTTGTACATAGGGTTGCTATGTCACCTCAATGACACCTCGCAACAATTGATTCTTAGATCTGATACAAACACACAAGGAACAAAAGATAAAATTGGAAATTGACCTTCATCAAAAATTTAAAATTTTGTGCATAAGGGACTTTACCAACAAAATGAAGAGAATACTTACAGAATGGAGAAAATATTTGGGAATCATATAAGTGATAAGAGTGTTTAACATCTAGAATATATACCTACATCTCAATACAAAATAAATAAATAAAACACAATTTAAAAGCAGATCACAAAGCAACTTGTCAGTTTAAACCTCTACCAACAAGCAATCCCACATCTAGGTAATTTTCATACGTTCAAGTTCACCAGCGGCTCCTTGGAAAGGCTACACAGGGTGGCTATGGGTCAGAACTGAGTCGATGGCACTTAGCAACAACAACAACAATAAATAGTCAAAGACTCCTGTTTTAAAGTCAAAAGAGTCTGCATTTGATCTGTAATCAATACAAACCAGGTACAGTCAAGCCTTATTATTTGTGGATTTCATAGGGAGATTGGCAGATATGTCATAGGAAGAACTGTGAGAAATTCCCAACTGAGGTCCATGTTTGATTTGATATTCACTAATTCCTTGTTTTCAGGGTCTTTATAGAACACAACTATCAGAAATAAGAAAGATCTATTGTGTTTAATTTAGAAAAATTGCCTTCCTTCCTCTGAACCTTACTTGTGAAGACTTAATGAATTCATTTGTAACACTCCATATTATACAGGCCAGCCAGTATGTTTGCATACAGAATTAAAACCTTATGATAGTTTTAGTGTTTTGCTTTGGGGTTTTCTTGGTTTTGGGTTTTTTGCTTTTGTTATTATTAATTATCAACATAGTCTGGTCATCATCAACAACAAAAAACTACATTCAGTTTCATTTAATTAATTAAAAAACAACAACAACCTCTTTGTAATACAGAATTTGCGTGGACTGCAAAGTCGGTTTGAACTGCAAGGTCGGAAGGTCGGTGGTTCATGCTCACCAGCTGCTTCTTGGAAATCCTATACAGGGTTGCTATAAGTCGGAACTGACTCGACCGCACTTAACAACAATTTTTATCAGGAATAAAATTTTCAAGAAGCATGAGAAGATTTCACTTTGCAGGGAGAGCAATGATAGGGTAAAATGCTTTTTTAAATCTTCCTGTAAAACCTTATATTAAACATGTTTTTGCTTATAAGTGCCATACAGTCAGTCCCAACTCATAGCAATACTGTATTGGGTTCCTGACGAGCGACTGGTGGGTTTGAACCACCAACCATGCAGTCCAAACCGTCCTTGTGGTCTAGTGTTTTATCCTACAGAGCCACACACCAGAACATTAGACATGTGGTGGTTGTTATGTGCTGTGGAGTCAGTTCTGACTGATAGAGACCCTGTACAGGGTTTCCGAGGCTGTAAATCTTTGATGTTCTTGCTATGGTGCCGTGGAGTCGGTTCCGACTCTTAGCGACCCTATACAGGATTTCTGAGGCTGTAAATCTTTACAGGAGCAGAAAGCCTCATCTTTCTCCTACAGAGCCACACACCAGAACATTAGACATGTGGTGGTTGTTATGTGCTGTGGAGTCGGTTCCGACTCTTAGCGACCCTATACAGGATTTCTGAGGCTGTAAATCTTTACAGGAGCAGAAAGCCTCATCTTTCTCCCGCGGAACAGCTGGTAGTTTCGAACTGCTGTCCTTGAGGTACGCAGCCCGGTCCGTAAACACTACGTCACCAGAACATTAGACATAGACCCTTCTAAAAGCACGGTGGCTCAATAGTAGAACTCTGCTTCTGAAAATCAGCCAACAATCTGAAAAATCTCAACAATCTGATTCCCGATCTTGAAAATGCTGTAAGATGGGCCATGAGTTGTGCAGTCTTCATGAATCTGGGCAGACAGCTAAAAACAATTGCTAAAAGCAAGCTAGTAGTTTATAAAACTGTGATTTGAGTATTTCTTTTCCCAAAACAAAGGCAATAAATGCCATCTTGAATCCAAGTAATAGTCTGCTACAGACACCTTCCAAAAACCTCCCCAGTTATTGGACAGCACTAATCCTCACTTGGTTACGTCAGGGGCGGAGCATAGGCAGGAGATATCATAGTTATTGCGCGCTCTACGTCCAATAGCCAATGAGCATCCGGGAAAGCAGCTAGAAGATTGATTCAAAAGATCTAGGCCGATCTCTTACGCGGATACGGCGCCCTTAGAACCTAGCATTTCAGAGTGCTTAGGAGCCACGCTCGGAACTGCTTAGGACTTGCTCCTCAACAATCATCAACCCAACTGGCCTGACCACCAGGACCCGTCAATTCGCAGGACTGAGCCTCAGCGCCCCACGTCCTCAGGCAAGCGCCAGGAGCACCGCCGGAACCGCCATCGAGGTAATGAACAGGCGGCCTCGAAGTCCCAGCCCCAGCCCCTGCCCTGCAACTTGGTGGGGACTTCAGCCTGGGGAACCCCGTCCCGCCAAGCTCCTCCGATGGGAGGGGCCCGAGATCCAGGCTGGGCCACCCCCTGCCGCAGACAGTCTCGCTTCCGTGGTGGTCCTGGCCTCTGACTGTGCCCTGCAAGTGCCTCTGCGTGATGCGGACCTAGTGCTGGAACCGGCGCCTGAGTCTGTCTTGCGAGTGTCTCTTGGGGACCACACCCTCATCCTGATCCACGAAGCTCTCCTGGGCTCGGGCGTCGAAGACGATGGACTGCAGAGCGATTTGTCTGTCAACCTGGACCTGGATTCTTTCCTGAGTGCTCCCTGGAACGAGGTGAGCGTGGAACAGGGATCTTACTGCGAATCCGTTTCGGAGACTACTGCCCAAGCGGAGACATATGAGGAGAACGCCGACCACGAGTTCCTGCAGCTCCAGATCTGCACTCAGACAGACACAGACGCTGAGCTCAGCTGCTCCACTGAAAGAGTCCTCAGCCCCTGCCCTCAGGACCTCATCCCAGGGCGCTCTCCTTGGGTCTCCATCTTGAACTCCCAGCATCAGAGGCCTTTCCCCAGTTCACCACTTGAACCCCTGCCTCCTTCTCCAAGTCCAGACACCCATGAGCGCCCCCAGCGCTCTCCCCGCCCTCCGTGCAGGGCTAGGAGAAGTCTGTTCAAGAATTAACACCTCCCAACAGTCCTAGTATGACTCTGTGGTTTAATGTGCCAAACTGCAAAGCAGTTTGAACTTCAAGGTCGGCGGTTCAAGCTCACGTAGGAAACCCCATACAGGGTCACTATGGATTGGAACGGATTCCTTGGCACGTAGGCACATAACAACTACAAAAATTCGTTACCAGCCCTCTGTGCACTCTACTGAAACCCACTGTCAGCAAATCCCACCAACAGAAACGACATCTTCCTTCATTCAAGTTCAGTTACAATGTGTGTTAGCACCGAATTCCTTGTTCATTAGCTGGAGATGACACCAAAAGAAAAAGCAGATTTTGCAAAGTACCTTCGGGACAGAGAACACAAACAAAAAGGACCCTGTTGTTGAAGAGAGGATTATCTGATTCACGGTGGTTCCATAAAGTTTTCTTGGCTGTAATCTTTACCAAAGCATGTCACCAGGCTTTTCAAACGCAGCGACTCTGAATGGATTCCAACTGCTCACCGTTAGGTTGTTGGTGGTGTTCAGTTCTCTCAATTCAGTTCCAACTTAAAGCCACCCTGTTGAGGGTTTCCGGGGAGTGGCTGGTGGGTTTGAACTGCCAGTCTTGAGGTTAGCAGTCCAGTGCTAATCCTTCAGCGCCATACCAGTCAAGGGCAAACAGCTGGAACTAGCCAGGGACCTTGGGAAGGACGGTAGCAGAGGTAGCAGACAATGCAGTTTCAGACTCCTTGACCTCTTCTTCTATACATGCTCTTTTTTCACACTGGGCCACCTTCAGCTCTTCTTTCTCACCAGTCCAGGTTGTTTTGTTTTGTACTTAGGAATTTACCTGTGTCATTTCCCCTGTATGATATCTCGGTAGGTGGTGTGGTCATTGATTGTATTGTTCCTTGCCTCCTTGCTTACCCTAACACCTTTACCTGGACTTGGTCAATAATAGTACCAAGATAAAATAAATAAATGAATAAATGATACACAATGTAATCCATTGAACTTTCTGAATTTTTTTCCTAAAATTAGAGTACACAAAAGTGAGAACAATATTTCATGGGGAAAGGAAGGGAAGAAACTGTCATATTGTTTCATTTCAGGAGCAGTTTGTACACTATAATAAGTACTCCTGCACTTATACAATCAAATGGGTGTTGCTGGATTTCAGAGTAGTTTAGGCTTCACCTTGCCTACTCAGGATGTGGCTACTCACTAAGACACACTCAGCTTCCCAGCGTCAACATTTGGTCTGATACGTTATTGAGAATGTTTTCATGCTCATGAGCCTGCTACCCAGAGTTGGCAGTTGTTATTTCTTGGTACTATACCTTAACATCATTTTTTTTATTCTAATGGGGAAAAAAATGGTTATAAGTAATGTTGTCATGCCGTTTGATCCACATCCCCAGTCCCCTTCCACTCCCCATCCCCATTGGATTGTCATCATATCCTAAATTTGGTAGGTACCATTCTAGTCAGCATAAATGCTATCCATACAAGTGTATAGCTACAAATAAGCAGCAGTAGGTATGCTGTTATATGGAGTCCTGATGTGGTGCTGCAGGACAATACACTGGACTATAAGGTCAGTTTGAACTGCAAGGTTGGTGACTCAAATCCACAAGCCACTCCTCAGAAACCCTATATAGAGTCCTTGTGAGTTGGAACTGACTCCTCAGCACTTAACAACAACATGTTGTTTTTAGACATCTAAATTTACATAACTGGCATAATTCAGTTAACTTTTTTTTCTTAAATTTACTTTGAAATCTTGACATATTTACATTTCTTCTAAAGACCTCAGATTCTCTCATATGAATATACCATATTTTATTAACTAATAGATCTTCTGTTTTACAATTTTATTATTACAAACCATGTTGCAGTAAACATTCTCAGACATCTTGTGTACCTGGGGAAGAATTTCTCTAGGAAATATATCTAGAAGTAGTATTGATGGGTGATATGATATATGTAAGTTTAATTTTACAGGATATAACAAATTGTTCTCTACAATGATTTACAATAGTTTAAACAGCCTCTAGATCTTCACCACACCATATCACAGACTTTAAATTGTTTGCCAGTTAGTTCGGTGAGAAATAGTATCTCTTTTTTTAATTTATATCTTCCTGTTAACTGGTTAGACAATTCAATTTTTCAGGTATAACAAGAATAATTTTTTTAAAGTACTTTCAGAGGTATTTGGGGGTTTGTAAATCTTACTGACTCTCAACCTATCACAAATCCGATTTAAAGACTAATCTTTTCAGTCAGAAGAACAGGCTGAAATCTCAAAGCTGGCTCTTTCTAGTCCATTCCTAGCAGAGATCACGAAAATCCAAGTTTCTCCAGGCAGAAAAGTTACATCTTAATTTCTTAAGCAGACTATAAATTTCAAAAGTAAAGTTTGGAGATCTGAACAGAGAGTTTAAATAGATACCATTGAGCAGAGAGGAGTGAGAAGTTGTAATTGGATAAGCTGTAATTGGATAAGAGGGAAAGGCCACATTTTCCCAAGAATGGTTCCTGGGTGGTACAAACAGTTAATGTACTCAGCTGCTAACTGAAAGGTTGGAGATTCAACTCTACTCAGAGATGCCTCCAAAGAAAGACCTGGCTTTCTACATCCAAAAAACTCAGCCATTTAAAACCTTATAGAACAGAGTTCTACTCTAACACACATGAAGTCACCAGCAACTGGTTTGGATTTTGTTTCTTTTTCTCCAAGAGTAGGATGTGGAAAAGAAAAGAGGGAAGTAATAGAAAACACTATGTAGGCATTCATACTCCCATGTATCAAAACTTTCACTTCTATGGGTCAAAATCCTAAGTGCTAGTTGAGTGAAAAGCTAAGAAAAGGTAGTTTTATGTCTTACTTCCCATTTAAGATTCTGTGGAAAGCCAATATGGAGAATGATTCTCAGATCATAAGCTGTTCCATCTATGCATCCAACACCTTGAAAGGACGCATCCAAAATTCAAGCAGGGAGCATTTACTCAAATGTGCCTGTGTTATTTGAAGAAGAATGTGTCTAGAAAATTTATAGTATTCTTCTTCCCACCCCTCAGTCCCACAAAACATGACAAAGGTTAAATTGATTATATAAAATAAAGAGCTTGCTGTTTCCTTACATAGTTGAGTATCAATATATTTATTGTATTGTCAGTTTATATTCTTGACCTGTTTGTCTATCATACCTACTAGAACTTTCCTTGTTCAATAGAATTTTTATATAAATATACTTATATTTATATAAATTTTTATATAAATAAACCCATACCCGTTGCCAAGGAGTCGATTACAAATCCTAATGAGTATAGCATTAGGTAGTTTGTGGCTGCCACCTTTTGAAAGCAGATTGCCAAGCCTTTCTTCCATATCTCCTCTGGGTAGGTTCAAACTGCCAGTCGTTCAGCTAGTAGTCAAACACTTAACTATTGGCACCATTCATGGGCTCCTATATTCAATATACTAATCCTTTGTTATAAATCTTGTCTAGCATGTTGATTTTCATTGTTGTTTAACCCGTTTAAGTGGCTTTTTAAATTGCCATACAAACAAGGTAAAGATCAAGTGAAATTTCACAATCTTTTATAGTTTGTATTTTTGTATCAGTTTAATAAGTCTTGCCCTGACATAAGTTAGAAAGATTTTTTTCCTACCCTCTTTACTGATGGTGTTAGGTTTTATTTTGTTTTGTTTTCCTCTAAGATATTTATTCTATTAAGATTTTATTTTTATATATAGTTTGAGGTAGATATATACATTTTTTCTACAGGGTGTTATTGACTGGCCCATACTTTATCTATTAAATTACAATGACAATTCAGATCTATGCCAATTACTAGCATACAGGGATTGTCAGCCACCACTTATCTGTCAGTTTGTCCTACTGTGGCGGCTTGTAAGTTGCTGTGCTTCTGGAAGCTATGCCACCAGTATTTTAAATACCAGCAAGGTCACCCATGGTGGGCAGGTTTCAGATGAACTTCCAGACAAAGACAGACTAGGAAGAAGGAGTGACGAACTGCTTCCAAGTATTTAGTCACTGAAAACCTTATTAATAGCAGAGAAACACTGTCAGATACAGTGCTGAAAAATAAGCCCCTCAGGTTGAAAGGCACTCAAAATGCAACTGGGGAAGAGCTGCCTCCTCAAAGTAGAGTTGAGTGCCATTACAAGAAAGGAGTAAGGCCCGTGGGAGAAAAGCCCACGGGACCTTCATTTGCTGATGGGGCACAACTCAAAAAGGAGAGAAACAGCTGTAAACATCCATTAATAATCAGAACATGGAATGTAGGAAATATGAATTTAGGAAAATGGGAAATTGTCAAAAATGAAATGGAACACATAAAACATCGATATCTTAGGCATTAGTGAGCTGAAATAGACTGTATTGGCCATTTTGAATCTGACAACCACATGCTTACTATACCACGAATGACAAATTAAGGAAGGTGTTGCATTCATTGACAAAAGAACATATCCAGATCAGTCATGAGATACAATGCTGTCTGTGATAGGATAATATCCATGCGCCTACAGGGAATACCAGTTAATACTATTATTCAAATTTACGCACCAACCCCTAAAGCCAGTGAGGACAAAAAAGAAGATTTCTACCAACTTCTTCAATCTGAAATCGATCAAACATGCAATCAACATGTATTGATCATTACTGGTGATTGGAATGCAAAGGTTGGGAACAAAGAGGAAGGATCAGTGTTTGGAAAATATGGCCTTGGTGATAGAAATTATAGTGGAAATCACACAGTAGAATTCTGCAAAATCAATTATTTGTTCACTTCAAATACCTTCCTTAGATAGCATAAGAGATGATTATACACATGGATCTCACCAGATGGAATACACAGAAATCATACTGACTAAATCTGTGGAAAGAGATGATGAAAAAGTTCCATATCATCAGTCAAAAGAAGGCCAGGGGCAGATTATGGAACAGACCATCAATTGCTCTTATGCAAATTCAAATTGGAGCTGAAGAAAATGAACA